AACAGTTAAACATTAGCTTGTCGTGGAACACTACTGAGGGACGTCTAGCGGTCAAAAACATAAACAAACACGCGATCGGCTGGGTAAAGTGGAATTTTATTTTTTATTTCAATATTCCATAAATGTCAGTGCTATTCAAGGATATTATAACACAATATCTTGAAGGAGGTATGTTCTTTCCAAATTTTTGTTGTTTATGCTCTCATTTACCGAGTTTTAGTTGAGCTTGCCGACTTAAGTCTCCTCCCGAGGAGGCTTGACATCGTCGACTTACAGCTAAGAAAAAAACGACGTAAGCGACCTTTTAGATTCTTTGTGAAACGGGACTTAGTGACGTAACGACTTAATTACGTTGGTAACCAAGCCCTAAGTCAGGGAAACCGACTTAAGTTTTTTTGTGAAACGGGGGCCTGGCTGCTACCAGAGCTTTCAAGCGGCAAGGCATTCCTTGGGATAGGTTTTTAAAGTTTAATGTGGACCAGGCAACGGTCAAAACTTGTCCAGTTTGGTTCAGTTTTGTTGTAGAACATGCAGGCCGTTGATTCGGAGAGTAATAACCTACCCACGTATTGTCTATGTGGTTCAAATATGGCAATTTTGATGAGCAATGCATCTGCTTAATCCCTTGGCTTTGTAAGTTACCTGCTATTTTAAGTGCTCTGTGTGAACGGGCAATCTCATCGCGCAACCTAAAATTGTTCCTAATCCCCACATTATTCCATTATTTCATCTGGTTAAGGTTTTCATCAATGACTAACATTGATGTTTTGGCACCAACGTGGTATTCACTCCAATACTGACGCTGTCAATGACCATAGTCACTTTAGAAGCGGCACACAACTTGTTGTAGGCCTCTTCAGGATATCTGTAAACTCTGTTTGGACCAGTTAAGCGGTACGGGTGAAATCTGACCTCAATAAAGAAAACCACGCGGTTTCAGTTTTCTACCCAGAAACGGTCATGGTCTTCATTTCATTAGAGAAACAGACGATGCTGTTTTGCTGTTTACAGTGGCTTCCTCAGAGGTCGTTTGATATGCTAACCTGCTAAAACCAGTTTGGTATTCGCTAAGAGCCTTGAAAAACGCGTTATGGTCACAATTTACCCCTCATTCTCATTCTGAACGGACGGGGTGGTTTTTGTTATATGCAGCAGCATACCCTGAAGGACACTGAGTCCTGTACCCTGGTGGTTAGATGTCGATACATCGGACGTGGTCTCTTTGTAGGTACATCAGTCTGGGCATAACTCCATAAAACTGTGCAGACCATTCCGTTTGACACAATTATTTGTCTGGCAATGTCTGTCTTTTTCGCGCCATTCTGGCACAGATTAACACTTTTGTA